TTTTTAAATGAAGATTCCCTCAAATCCAGCTCAGCTTCTGGAGATTCATGGACACATCTGTGTGATTAAAAAAAAAAAATACAAATGGGGCTTCCTTTTTCTTAGAATGGATATTCAACGTTCCAGCCCAGCTCGTAATTCTGCGATTGTATGGTGATCTCCCACCCAACTCGGGTGCAATCCTGCTTAGTTTGCTGAGTTCAAGCAACCCTGGTTAGGTCCTACCATGTGTATGTTTACTAAGAAGTAAAACCAGGGGTGGGTTGCTGGGGGTTCACAGGGGTTCACGAGAACCTCTAGTTAAGATTCTGTACAGTTCGGAGAACCCCAAAATCCCATTCCTGGCTGGCCCCGCCCACCCTGCCCCCCCCCCAGAGTCCCCACATGGCCTGTTTTGGATGCAGAAGCTCGGGGAGAGTGAAAAACGGGCCTATCGGAAGTTCGGGAAGGCCGGCCCATTTCCACCCTCCAAAGGGCCTCCAGAGCCTGGGGACGCCATTTTCGCCCTCCCGGAGGCTCGAAAAAAACTTCCAGAGTCCAGGGAGGGCAAAAACACCCCTCCCCCATCGTGGGGCAGGAGGCCAACTAGGCCACGCCCACCATGGCCACGCCCACCGAGCAACTGGACAGAGAACCCCTTGCTAAATTTTTTGAAGCCCAACCCTGAGTAAAACCCATTGAAAGCAATGGGGCTTTTCTCCTGTCATGTTGCATCAGGTTTATGTGTGTGTGAGGGAGAGGGAGGAAGAGAGAAGGGGGAGGGGGAAGGAGGGAGGGAGAGAGGGAGGGAGAAAGAGAGAGAGGGAGAGAGAGGGGAGGAAAGGAAGGGAGAGAGAGAGGGAGAGGGAGGGAGGGAGGGAGGGAGAGAGAACTGAAGCCATCTGTGTCAGGAGCTAAGAATTGGCAGAATCCTTCCTGCTTCCGAATCCAGCTTCCTTCAGAAAAACTGCTTTATAATTTAATTAAATCACCCTTTCGGCGGATGCCTGAAAATGTAGCTATGGAAAGGCGCCTATAGAGTTTCCGCCCTTCTTCCAAAAAGAACCGAATGTTATTTTGCGCTTGGCTAGCAATCTTCTAATCCTTGATAACAAAGACTTCCCTATGAGTGACAAGCACAGCTCCGAGGAGGCGCTCTTCAAACTCATTAGCCCATCCGTCTTGCCAAAGCAAGGAAGAAGAGCAGATGCTGTTTTTACATTATCAGCGTTATTTAGCCCAGTAATCTTTAGACTGTTTTGGCTCCGGTTTCAGCTAATTTCTTTGCACTGATTTGAAGGAAGCCTCACAGGTCACAATCCTTTCCGAAATGACCTCCCTTCGCTTGGATCCATCTGTAACGGCGTGTCTGGCTCGAAAACAAGGAGGAGGTTAATTTAATTTTAACTGTCACTAAGTTGCAAGACACGGACTTTAACATGAAATATTAAAGTAATTTCAAGTTATCCGGGAGGAGAAACCTAGCTTTTCCACACTTGGAGGCATTCTGTACACCAGCCCGTGAAAAATTAGCACAAGCTTATAAATAGCAGTAGCACTTACCAATAGCACTTAGATTTATATACCGCTTCGCAGTGCTTTCCAGCCTTCTCTAAGCGGTTTACAAAGTCAGCATATTTGCCCATCAACAATCTGGATCCTCATTTTACCAACCTCGGAAGGATGGAAGGCTGAGTCAACCTTGAGCCAGTCAGGATTGAACTCCAGGCTGCGGGCAGAGTTAGCCTGCATTCTAACCACTGCACCACTAGAACTCTTGAAAAGCAAAGGTGTTGAGGTCATAGTTTGCTTATCTGGCAATGGTATCTTTCTCATAAATGAATTGGGGAAAGCTCTCCAAGTTAAGGAAAGGTATGGATGCAAGTTGACTCAAGCAGGACTTTTGCAAAGACCAATAAATAACCTCTTGCCTGACAAGCAATCCCTTTAGGAGGTGTTTGGGGCAAACTGATCCAAAAGAAAAGTTGCAGGAACTGGGCATGTCTAATTTGATGAAAAGAAGGTCTAGGGGAGACATGATAGCAGTCTTCCAATATCTCAGGGGCTGCCACAAAGAGGGAGTCAAGCTATTCTCCAAAGCACCTGAGGGCAGGACAAGAAGCAATGGGTGGAAACTAATCAAGGAGATGCAGCCTAGAACTAAGGAGAAATTTCCTGACAGTTGGAACAATGAATCAATGGAACAACTTGCCTGCAGAAGCTGTGAATACCCCAACACTGGAAGTTTTTAAGAAGAGGTTGGATAACCATTTGTCTGAAGTGATGTAGGTTCTCCTGTTTCAGCAGGGGGTTGGACTAGAAGACCTCCAAGGTCCCTTCCAACTATGTTATTCTTATAATAATTCTGATAAAGGATCTCCATGGTGGCGGAGCACAGTGAAGTCCCCCCCCCAATTTGGGATTCTCATCTCCCTAAACTTCAGGACACAATTTAATGGTCCTATTTTTATTTTTATTTTTATTTTTATTTTTATTCAGGCATGTCTGATTCTCAGAGATTGCCTGGAGAAGATCCTGCAGTTTTCTTGGCAAGGTTTTTCAGAAGTGGTTTACCTTGCCTCCTTCCTAAGGCTGACAGACGGACCCAAGGTCATTCAGCTGGCTTTTTACGCCCAAGGTCAGACTAGATCTCCCAGTCACCCAGTCACTAGCCTGATGTCTTAACCACTATACCAAACTGGCTCTTCATCCTATGTAAAATAGAAACCAAATTCTGGCACGGTATCCAAACGAATGTTCTAGCAGGAACATCAATTCCACAGTGGAACCAGTGACCAATTATTAGAGCTTACCAAAGTCTTCAAGGTTTCAATTAATGTCCTCTTCAAAGCTAAGCCACAAAGCAAAACAGCACCCTGCGTCTCTTTGTCACAGCACAACAGCTCCTTTGTGTGACTCAGAAGCAGTGGCTTTTGTGCATGTACCAAACCATGCACTGCTCTTAGCAAAGCTGAAAAACCGATGAAGGCACACCGATGTTCCTCTACAAGCAGTGGTGGGATTCGGACGGTTCGGGACGGTTCAGGTGAACCGGTAGTTAAATTTCTGGTTGGCCCTTCCCCTCCCCGCCCTGCCCCTTCTGGGAGTCCCCATGCACCCTATTTTGGCTCCCACGTAAGTGCAGGGAGGCCTACTAGGCCCAAAACGGGATGTGGGGAGCAGCATATCTCCCCCCCCCATGGCCCGTTTTTGCTCCCTGGGGGTGTAGGAGGCCGAGTGGCCACACCCACCATGGCCATACCCACCCAGTCATTAGTGCAGATTATTATTTACATATATATTATATGTTATATTATATTATGTTATATTATATGTTAAATTATTTGAATCCCACCACTGTCTCCAAGGCAGGGTTGTACTGGGGTGGACAACAGACAATTAGCCAATCTGGTTACCAAAGAAGGCAGAATGCTTCCCTTCCCCACGCCTTAAAACATGGGATGCCTGAAGACATTTTTCTGTGTCTTTTACAATTGTAATGTTGATTGCAAGAATAGACTGTAATAAATCTAGATTGAAGGTTATAATGTTATATTAATAGAACCTTGCAAGGCTGAAAGTATTTCTCTCCTTCCTTCCTTCCTTCCTTCCTTCCTTCCTTCCTTCCTTCCTTCCTTCCTTCCTCCCTCCCTCCCTTCCTCTCCTCTTTCTCTCTCATCTCCTTCCTTCCTTTCTCCCTCCCTCCCTGTCCTCCTTCTCTCCTCTCCTCTCCTCTCCCCTCCCCTCCCCTCCTCTTTTACTCCTGGCAGCTGCCTGGACCTGTCCTTGCAGTTTTTCAGAGGTAGGTTGCCATTGCCTCCTTCATAGGGCTAAAAGAGAACGCCTGGCCCATGTTCAGCCTGTTGGCTTCATGCCTGAGCCAGGACTAGAACTCACAGTCTCCCAGTTTCTAATCTGGCACCGTAATTATCCTCCTCTCCTTTTACTCTCTGCAAAACTAGGGAGAGTCTCTTCTAAAGCACTCGACACACCCTGCTCTCCTTCTGTGAACTGAGAACCTGCCAGCTGGCCAGTGAACAATCCTTCCTCCTGCCTTCCAAGTTCATTCCCAGATATCTTTACAGAAGTACAACCCTCCCTTCAGAGGTGGGATTCATATAATTTACCTACCGGTTCGCCCAGCACCGAAAATGTGAACGAGCGTGCATATGCGCTTTGCTCGTGCGCGCCTTCCGCGCATGCGTCGAGACTCAAAAACATGCCTAAATAGGACAGCATAGAGCTGGGTGGACTGGCCTACTCACAATTTCTGCTACCAGTTCACTTGAACCAGTCCGAACCGGCTGAATACCACCTCTGTCTCCCTTCCTACTTCTGAAATTTCAGGGAAACAATGAGATTGGAATATTTCTTGAATCTCTAGGTCAGTGATGGCTAACCTTTTTTCCATTGCATGCCAAAAGCGGGGGGAGTGCGGGAGGGTCGCGTGTGCGTGTGCCCACACCCATAATTCTATGTGCTCTGCCCCCCCCGCACATGCACGCGTGACCCCCCACGTTCCCCCCGCTTTTAGCACGCGATAGCACAGTTGGCCCGGTAGGCCTGTTTTTCGCCCTCCCCAGGCTTCAGAGGCTTTCTAGGAGCCTGCGGAGGGCAAAAACAGCCTTCCCCACCCCTCCAGAGGCCCTCCGGAGGCTGGAAACAGGCCATTTGCCCACTTCCGGTGGGACCAGAAGGCCCGAAAATCAGCTGGCCAGCTCACGCATGCGTGCCAGAGCTGAGCTTGCGTGCCCACCAATACGGCTCTGCGTGCCACCTGTGGCATATGTGCCATAGGTTTGCCATCACGGCTCTAGGTAGTTGCTCTATCTAGCCTAAAGATCAAATTATATAGGCCCGGAATGATTATTTTAAGTCGAAAGTAAAATATCTTATTATTCCTATCTACATTTCCAGAGTTAGACTAACCAAACTTCATCATGATTAGCAATGTATATTTCCCACTGAAACATTTCAACGTATACATACATTGGAGATGCACGTTTGAAAGATGTACTTACACTTGCATGCAGTTTTCCTTTTTTCGACATGGCTAAAAATTTGTTGCTGAAAACTCCGCGTATTCCTACTATCCCCTGAGACACGGCGAATATTTCCAAAATACCTACAAAGGACAGAAATCCCCAAAATAAAATTCATTTTTCATAGCACCGTGAAACAGACAAACAAAAAGGAGAGAGAAAACTTAAATGCCTTGTCATTTTGCACTATCTGAGAAGAGGGGGGGGGGAAGCAGAAAAAAGTCCCTGGCATTTTAGGCTTATAACCAGTGATTTCATGGTTGATTGCTTCTTTGCTTGCTGCTTGGTTTATCTGAATATACATTTATTTATAGATGTCCTGAGATTTTAAAGGACAAAACTGATGCAAGAGAAAGGAGTGGGGGGGGGGGGGTTTAACCACAACTTCTATTAGTAGTAACTGATTGCCCTCCGTGTGAAAAGCATCAATGGAAACGTCATGGAAGGGGAAGGAAGGACTCTGACATCTAAAACATTCATTTAAGTTTCCCCATCAGCTTAATTGGAATCCTGCACTCATCTCTAAACAAGTTTGACTGGATTTAAGACTGGGATGATTCAAATGGTCCCAGGTAGCCAGTGGTGGGATTCAGCCGGTTTGGGCGAATTGGTTATTAAATTGCTGGCTGGCTCCGCCCCTTCCAGGAGTCCCCATGAGCCTCATTTTGGCTCCCAGGAAGCCGCAGGGAGGCCTACTAGGCCCAAAACGGGGCACAGGAGGGGACAGCACAACCCCTCATGCAGTGGTGGGATTCAGCCAGTTCGTACCACTTCAGGAGAACCGGTTGTTAACTTTCTAAGCAGTTTGGCAAACTGGTTGTTGGAAGAAATAATTAGGACAGAGAACCGGTTGTTAAATTACTTGAATCCCACCACTGCCCCCGTGGCCCATTTTTGCTCCCAGGAGGCTGCAGGGAGGCCTACTAGGCCCAAAACGGGGCACGGAGGGGCAGCGCATCATTCCCACCCACCTCCGCGGCCCGTTTTTGCTCCCAGGGAGGTGCAGGAGGCCAAGTGCTGCCTATCACACCCTCTGTCCACGCCCACCACGGCCATGCCCACCCAGCCGGTCATTACGGCAGAGAACTGGTTGTTAAATTATTGGAATCCCACCACTGCAGGTAGCCCACAACTTACGATCACAGTCGTAAGCCACAGAATTTCCGTGGCTAAGCAAAGCCGTGGTTAAGTGAGTAACACCTGATTTCACGAGCTTTTTTTGTACAGTAAGAGTTGTTAAGCAAACAATTGTAGTTGCGAAGCGAATCTTGCAGTCATTAAGCAAATCCCTCTTCCCCAGTTGACAGGGCTGTTAAGTGCATCACCGCAGTTGGTAAGTTAATAACAGGATTATTAAATGGATCTGGCTTCCCCATTGACTTTCCTTGTCAGGAGGTTGCAAAAGATGATCAAAAGATGATCAGGATCAGGGGTGGGTTCTAAATTTTTTTACTACCGGTTCTGTGGGCGTGGCTTATTTTGTGGGTGTGGCGTGGAGGTCATGTGACCAGGTGGGCGTGGCTAGCTGGTCAGAGTCATTTCTGGAAGGTCCTCGCACTTACAACCAAGTCCTCGCACTTGCGACCCAACTCATTTGTTTGCTTTTAACACTGATCAGCTGTAGGACGGCCCTTTGAAGCCCCGCGGCAAGAGTTTAAACAGATTTTTTCCCTCTAGTCATCAGCTGGGACTCAGGAGGCAGCAATAGATTGGGGGTGGGGCCAAATAAAAGGTAAGAATAATGTGGGTGGGGGAGTGGGGGGTGGGAGGGCGGGGGGAGAACCGGTTCGGTGACGTCATATCGTCACCGCTACCGGCTCGGCCGAACCGGACCGAACCGGGAGGAACCCACCACTGATCAGGATGCTGCAGCAGGTATAAATACATGGCGGTTTCCAGGTGCCCAAATTTTGATCACAGGGCCAACATGCATTTGGGTGAGGATTGGCTGCAAGTCACTTTTTCCACTGCAGTTATGACTTTGAACAGTAGCTAAACCAACGTTGTAAGTCGAGGACTACCTGCAGAGGTGAAATGAACCTCGTAACATAGTACCAATTTTTACAATGTGTTTAATGGGTCAGCCAATCATCCCTTTTAATTCCACGAGAATGGCTTTCAGAATAAACCGTTTACTGGAGCATTTTATCTGTGCCTTTTTAAGGCTGCAAACTTCATGCATACTGCATACATTTGCACCAGTGGTGGGTTTCAAAATTTTTTACTACCGGTTCTGGTGGGCGTGGTGTGGCATGGCTTGGTGGGCATGGCTTGGTGGGCGTGGCAGGGGAAGGATACTATAAAATCTCCATTCCCACCCCAATCCGGGGGAAGATTACTGCAAAATCCCTATTTCCTCCCAATCAGCTGAGACTTGGGAGGCAGAGAATAGATGGGGGTGGGGCCAGTCAGAATTTTTACTACCAGTTCTCTGAACTACTCAAAATTTCCAGTTCTCCAGAACTGGTCAGAACCTGCTGAAATCCACCTCTGGTTTGCACATGTGCAAACTTCATGCATACTGGTCACACGTACTCATAAGGCCCCCATATAGTAGATAACAGGGTGACATAGGAGAACAGCAGGCGGAGTTAAGCATGTCATCAGCTTAGAATCATTATGTTGCCACAAATGGTCCAAAGCCCAACCGCTCTTGAATCCCATTGACCTTGTCTGCTGTCAAATTAGTTTTGAACTTTAATTGACAAAATCCCTGGCTAGCAGCTTGAATGCTGCAATCTTATCTTACGGAGAGGCATGATTCTCTGCGAGTGACAGGTGAACTCTGAAATTGCACACTGCTGAGGCGCGCATTCAATCTAAAACTATAAAACTCCAACCCTCCATATTTTAAAGCTGCATATGCCCACACTGGACAGGTACAAAATATTAGACTGCATGACTCTGTGTAATTCAGAAAACACTGCATTGATTGGTGTTATTACATTATTCTGTTACAGCCAGCTCATGTTTCCGCATGCCTTGCCTTGCTCCACTTGCACTCTGAATAGGACATTCAAGCTGTTGAGATGATCAACAATCACCACAACAACAAAAAGCTAGAGAGAAACATATGGCCACCAGCAGTGGTGGGTTCCTCCCGGTTCAGCCCGGTTCGGCCGAGCCAGTAGCGGTGATGATATGACGTAACTGAACCGGTTCTCTTTGTTCAGGAGCTCCTCCCCCGTTATTCTTACCTTTTATTTCTTCTTTTTTAGCCCAGCTGATGGGTGCGGCAGAGTGGATTGCCGCACCTCAGCTTGGCAGATTTGTAACGTGCTTGTGCGAAGTGCGTGCACGAAGAGGCGATCGCGCACGAAGCACGTGCACAAAGAAAACCGGGAGTAAAGCTGGTTAGAACCCACCACTGGCCACCAGACTATGGAGGAAACCAACCTGGCCAAGGAGGTGAAAGACAAGAAACTGCCCAAAATTAGGTCCTCTGCCCCAGGGGAGAAATGCTACTGGTTCACACCGCTTCGGGCGAACCGGTAGTGATAAAAGCTATCGTTTTGTCCGAAACCGGCATTTCCAACGATCAGCTGTGCCGCGCGATTCAAATTCGCTAGAAAGCAGGAAATCAGGAAAGCAGGAATCTAAATCGTGCGGCACAGCTGTTCCCCACCCCTTGCTGTTCTACTTACCTTCCCAAGCCTGCTTTTTCCGCGTGAAGTGCGCGTTTGGTGCATCCTGTGCATGTGCACGTGCAGCGCATTTGGTGCACATGTTTGGCGCGCATCACACATGCGAGGGCAGTGAACCAATGGCAAACTGGGAAAGATTTCATCGCTGCTCTGCCCCAAACTAGGTCACCCACTGATTCCCAAGTAGAGAAGCAATCAACCTGGATGATGAATTGATTGTCAGCTTTGGAAGCCATATTAGGCTGGAAGCTTCCATGCTGCTGCCACCTTCTCATGTGTGGGAAAGTAGGAGGGGGGGATTTAGTAGAGGGGTTGTCTGTAGACATAATAGCATTCTTCCTTTTGGTCAAGGTCAGGCCGACCCTGCATCTGGAGAAGGAGTGGTCGGAGTGCTGTCTCGAGATGGGACGGATGGTGATTGGAGCATGTGATCGACTGAGGAGTGAGGGATGGTTTTGAGGTTTTTAATTTACTGAGGGAAAACCTGGACTTCTCAGATTTGGGTTTTCCCAGATGTGCCAGTTTACCTATTCTAGTAAATAAAACTTTGAAAAATGCTTGCTTCAGAGTCTTTACTTGGAGTTGGGCTTTTTTCTGGAACGCTGACACTGATCTTCCAAAGAGATTTGATCTTTGTTTGATGACTGCTCAACTGCGGTCTCCCAACTACATCAATGCTCATACCTGCTCTTAAGGACAGACCTAAAGTAAAAAATAATTGTTGCTGTGGATATTCCTTAACATAGTTAGAGTACGTGACAACAGTGTTCCAATATCTAAGGGACTGCCACAAAGAAGAGGGGGTCAGTCTCTTCTCCAAAGCACCCGAAGGCCAAGCCAAGAAGGATGGAAAGTAATCAAGGAGAAAACCTACCTAGAACTAAGGAGAAATTTCCTGACAGTGAGAACAATTAATCAGTGGAACAACTTGCCTCCAGAAGTTATGAATGCTCCAACACTGGAAGTTTTTAAGAAGAGATTGGACAGCCATTTGTCTGAAATGGTATAGAGTTTCCCACTTGAGCAGGGTCTTGGACTAGAAGACCTGCAAGGTCCCTTCCAACGCTGTTATTCTATTAATCCATGGAATACTCATATTATTTGGGCTGACAGTAATGGGATCCTTCTGCTACTTGATTCTGTAGCCTATCATCTGTTAGTTTGAGGCAGCTGTGGCTTTGGAACCTCATTTAGTGTTAGAAGTTCTGTTTAAATATAGCACCACAGACCAAACAAAGAGTACAGTCACCATGTGCTTTACCACTCAACTGTTTTAACTGTAACAGGAAACAGGAAACCTAAGTAGAGCATAGAGTATATACCATAGATCCAAACTTGTAAACACTGCCATCTACTGGCTGAACGCTACTGTAATTGTTGCATAAAACACATTCCAACAATGAATTCCAACATTTACCTTGCATTCATCACTTGTTACT